TCGCCGATAGACAGGTACACTCCGAGGTATATACTTTTTTTATTCAAATATACGAGGATGATATTTTCAATTTTATTTGGTATGCATTTGTAGCAACAGCATGATAACATTTATTTGTTTTTATTTGCGTTTTATATTCATATTGATAATTCACGTTTTGTCTTGGATAATAAAGCACGGTTATGCATAATAAATTGTATGCATAATAAATATTCACTATCACTGTATGAGGTAAGAATCAACAGCTTTTTATCACATTTACACAACACTTTATGAATACAAGTCATGAACAAATCTTAAATATGGCAGGGAATGTGTTTACTTTTTTAGTTTTGATTTTGAGCAGCAAATTTGGAGTTACATATTGGTGCTCACCAGGAATGCATAGGCAAAATTGCACAAATTTTCACTTGAAAGAATAGTGGCGATCTTGGGATTTTTTTCTGTTCAATTTTCAAACTGTGTAAATTTAATACACTTCATCTTCAGCATGTTTAGTGCCACTTTTGTAAGTAACCACGCCCCCGTCCAGGCCACGCCCCCGTCCAGGCCACGCCCCTTCCGCTTTTTTCATCACTCGCCATTGCCATGTATGAGTAGTGGACTAACACTTTGTACTGCAGAGTAACAACAAAATTGAATGGATTTGTTCCCAGCTGTCCCAATGCTCAAAGTCCCTTAAACTAAAACTTGCAGATGTAGTAGTCAATAACATTGGATCCAATCTTTGTGTCAGGTGGTACCGGGCTACGGTCACGCCGTCCTGAGGAAGACGGACCCTCGGTACACCTGCCAGCGCGAGTTTGCCCTGAAGCACCTGCCCACCGACCCCATGTTCAAGATGGTGGCTCAGCTGTACAAGATTGTCCCCAATGTGCTGCTGGAGCAGGGCAAGGCCAAAAACCCTTGGCCCAACGTGGACGCCCACAGTGGCGTTCTGTTGCAGGTGAGTCCTAACCTCGCCACAGCGGTTGTCTCAATTGATGGCTTTATGGCGGGATTAACAGAAGCAAGATGGCACCTATGTTAAAGGGACAAAAGACAATAAAGAATGTTTTGGGGGTGGGTGGGCTAGAACGGATTAATGGAATTTCACTTCATTTCAACGTTTCAAGATTGAATTGCTGTAAAGGTAACTTGAGTTTCAGACTTGGTCATGGAATTAATTAAACCCAAAGCCAATGTGTCATTAGTTAAGACGTCACAGCGGACACTGGTGCTGATGTCACGCATCTCATTATCTGATGGCTGTATACCATGTCACTGTACAAGTAAATTTTGCTGGGTTCTATGGAACAGGCGTTTCAATGCCGAATCGTATGCAACTGCGCTGAAATGGCAGTTTTTCAGGATTTCTTGGTTCAAGAGGCTTACTCAATTTCTGTGGTTGGAGTGGCCGAAGATGTTTGTTTAGTCAGCTGCAGCTCAGAGAAACAAATTGGTTACCTGGTGACTGGAAACATTATCGTTACGGACGTGGCCTGTCTCGACATAACTTTGAGATCAGATTCAGGGTAAACAGTGTTCTAGTTTACAACATATGGCAAGACTAATTCAACTGAGAGACTAACTGGATATGACGCTGTATTGCTTTGCAACAGTGTTCAAGATGGCTTTGCAAAAGTATTTTAGATGCATTCAAAGTACGAATTCCGTCATTTGCAGGGAAATCCACCAGGATGGCAGTACGTTGCTCCCTAAAGATGATTTTGTATTCTTTAAAGAAGGACCAACGATACACAAAAAGAGCATCTTACACAGTAGTTGTTCAAAATATTTCAGCTTCTCTTTTATATCTGTAAAAGTCACTCACACCTCATTAACATCACTAAATATGGACTGTGGTCACAGTATTTAGCTAGACAGATATCAACCAAACTTTTTGTCAGAATGTACAGAAATCAACATGTTGTCATGAATTTTTCATAGCAGTGGACCCTCACTATTTGTGGGGAATCATTGACCCTGACCCCCAACCCTCCCACTAAAAAGGGTTTGTAATATTGATAGATGCCACAAGATGGCAGCAAGCCCTTAAAACTGATTTGATCTTGAAACACCAACACCACCATGTATATAGCGTGTACCAAACCAAAATAGGAGGGCTTCACTGTACTGTTTCTGTATGTAGCTGGCATATGTTTTAGCAGTAAATGCTTACTCATCAATTTAGGGATGTTGGATAACGGCACACCTAATTTCTCATGGCACACTGGTTGGGAATCACGGTTGTAGTGGCCACTATTTGAACAAATGCATATTTGTGGAGTTCAGATTGCAGTAAAAGAGAAAAAAAATAGTAATTACGGCAAATGTGGGTCCTTGCGATCGAACCTAACTGCACCCCTGTACTTCCCTGTCCGCAGTACTACGGAATGACGGAGATGAACTACTACACGGTGCTCTTCGGCGTGTCGCGGGCTCTCGGCGTGCTGGCCCAGCTGGTGTGGAGTCGAGCCCTGGGCTTCCCGCTGGAGCGCCCCAAGTCCATGAGCACGGATGGACTCATGTCTCTGGTGGGCTCCAAGTCGGGTTGATCCCCGACCACGTGAGGGGTTTTAGTGGTGGGGAAAAAGCGTAAACGTGACGGATTACGATGAGTTGACTACCCCCTGACCTACCCTGGTCCATCCCTGGAATTCCACCAGATTTAAAGAGACAATTTACTTTTAATGTCATTACACGCAAAAAGACTCTCCTCCAACCACTGCTAGTTGTCCTGTTACCTCCTCAGGAGGTGAAACTTCCACACATAGAGAGTCCCACCTGTTTTTGTTTGTTTATTTTTTTGTTTTTAAGCTACCCTACAAGTCCTCTACGAATTAAGGGTGACACTCAAAGGGAATTGTGGGAGTGAACTGCACTTCCTCTGTATTTGTTTCAGCGGCTAAGGCCACGTCCCCCATCAATCAGCTGACAAGTCACTTTGATTTCTCCTATGCATCCCCGCCGCTCTCCTGCCTTTGGCAACGTTTCACTCCCATTTATGAGCACTCCAGTTTTCACCATTCTCGCCGTGATCAAGCAGTTCATAAAACACACAGCAGAAAACAAAAGCCGCTTTCAATATAAAACTTTTTTTGTTGTTTTTAGTGCTGGCTAGTCTTCCCTCTATGATCAAAATAACCGGCCCGTCTTTGTTTCAGCCCGGCGCTAGTTTAACCCGGTGACTGACACAGTGGGGGGCAAGCGTATTGACGCGTAAGAGCAAGCTTGAATTCTAGGTGGGCTTCGTCCTTGTAATTGTTTGTTGCTTTTTTTTTTTTTTTGGTTTTTATCCACGTGAGAGCTTTATCAATGTGGATTGCTTCAACATCAGCATTTGATTGATTGATTGGATCTCATCCTTTGAAACCAGAGACCCCAACTCGCCACCGCTCGCTCCCTTGCTTGAGTGTGTCCCTTCTTCCTGAGCTTGCTGGTGTAACGGTTGGGTTATGTGGTTTTATTTATACTTTGTGTACATAGGTTATATATATATATATATGTATATGTATAAGTTCTGCTCATAACAGCCACACCGAGTACCAACTGTCAAAGGTCAGCCTCTCGGGTAGAAACCGCAGCTATCTTGTACATACATGTTTTTGTCTTTTTTTTTCTCCCCCAGGGTGTTTTCAAGCTTGTTCTTGAGCTCCATTGCCAAGACAGCCTGCCCATCTGTGGCGTTGTTTGTCAACACTCCATTTTTGTCACTCAGAATCTTTTTTTTTTTTTTTTTTTTTTGGCTTTGTTTGTGCTCCTCCTGTCTGTCGTCTCGTGGCATTATTTTGATCGTAGAGGAGGTTGTACGTGATAAATGAGAATGAAATGTAAGGTGGGTTCATCAGATACGCTTCAGGGGGGCTGGATGGGTCGGACAGGGCAAGAAATAGTGGAAAACAACTCTTAAAAAAAAAAAAGTAAAAATAAAGGTTTTTATTGAACAATGCCTAGTCTTTTTTTTTAAAGGAAATGTTGGCACACAATCACACCTATTGCCCTTAATACCAGTGTTTTACTATTATTAAAATAGTTTGTCTTGGGATTTTAAAAATGACAAATTTTTCAAATTAATGAAACGTCCGAAAAATAATGTGAATTCTATCTACATTTTGGAGAGGGATAAACACCAAATAGTTGCTGAGTTTCCGGCTTTTAGCAAGCAATTTATCAACTGATCGAGTGCGTATTAGTGACTTGTTGCCTTCATCAACTCACTGAAAAAGGTTTTTGTTGAATTTACTCACTTTTATTTTATGTGATTGCACTTGATAATAAAATCTACATCCAGATCCATTTTTAAGTAGAATATACATCTACTTAAATGTTTCTTTATCCAGATCTTTTTTGTGCGTGCAACTAAGAAAAATACCTATCCCCACCATAAAGCATTGTGAATATGCCCATCTTTACAACAAAGTAATGTAAATTTTCCCATCCGTGCAGTTAAGTATAGTGAATGTGCCCATCTCGTCAACGTCTTGAGTTGAAGTCTTTTTAACGATCTGAGTTGTGCGTCATGGCGCTAAATGGCACTTTGGCCTTCCTCAGTCACATGAGCCCTCCTTTCTGTATTTGCTGGGATATTAATAACCGGACTGCATGCCGTCACCCAGATTTGCTTTCCCTTAAAAAAATGACAAGGAAGCTGTCTGCGATTGGCAGGATGTACCCACGCTTTTCATCACAAATCAGCAAGGATCGGCTCCAGCTCGCTTGCAACCCTAATAAGGACAATCACTTCTGGATGTCGCATCATCATGGCAGACATACTTCCAGGGTGCAAAAGATGGAGCTGTTGTCTGATTGCACCAAGGCACAGTGAAAAAAGGGTAAATGGCAGAAGAGAAGGCTGAATTTTGATCAATTCAGCCTTCTGCTTCAGTTTGAATGTGTGACGTGTCACTCGAAAATGAGGTAAGCTTCTGTACAAGAAGGAATTCACACTTAAACAGATATTTTGGTTCAACATTAGACATGGTGGAACTTGAGACGGTTAAAATTATTGAGGAACTGGCTAATTAACTGACTTTTCTGTTACTCAGATGAATAAGCCGCATGCACTGAGAATAAGGAACTTTTATTTATTTACAGTAACGCCTCCAAAGGTACACTTCGGCCTTTGTACAACATAAGGACATCACATTAATGTACAATTGCTTCAAATATTTTCCTGCCTTGCAAGTGTTTTCCCTGCAGATTAAAAAAAAAAAAGCTTGACAATATGAAATCATCAATGCAGCAAAGCAACACTTAAGTCTTCACCTCCAGCACTGCCAAATCGTTGATTTTGCCACATTGAATAGGTTAATGTTTTTCTAGCACGGGCCAAGAAGGTGAGGTAATCCAAAAATAGAATTCATAGACCCTTGGTAACAATAGTCAATGTTTTGCACGTCTTACAATCAATGTGTGAGCAGCACACAAACACAACTTACACCTATGCACAGATGTGCAGAAATAAGACAAAAATATTTATTTCATAGCCCAACAGTATGTGCTTGTCATGCATTGATGTGCCGCTTAACATTGGAAATCTGAAATAATTGGACTTGTACACTGTTAAGTGGACCGCCGCACATTCAAGCCTCTCAACTGCTGATTCCGCTTATTCAGATTGTTTTTCTCCAATTTCGCCTATCAGTTTATTTTCAATGAATTTTTAGGTCCCACAAGAATAAATGCATTCTATGATAATGAATTAAGCTGCCTTTCCAGCAGCTCCGCTGCTGTGAATTGGGAATTTCTCCATTGCGAGACGAATAATGGTTTTCTTATCTTATCTTAATCTCACATCACCCGTGAATGAATAATTTATGGCGTGAATCTTCCTGAGATTTAAAAAAAAAAAAAAAAAAAAAGCTAAAGCACTGGCTACCAGACTCAAAGCATGTGGTGAAAGTAACACTGCTGGGCTACCAAATCTGTGCACGCGCATGCAAATGTCACACATGACAGCAGGCAATTCAAAGTGCAGAAAGAAAACCTATAAAGGTGGAACCCTTTAATCAAACCTGTTCACACTCTCTTATTGTCCCAAACATGGCACATCATATGCGCTGCCTCCATCAAAAAATAAAATAAAAATACATAAGTCATAAATTAATGAAAGTGTTTAGCACCAAGCTCAAAATAATGTAGCAAAGCACACAGACTACTCGGAAACGTTTGAGACATTGGGGGAATTTTCAGCATGAATCTAAAATTTACCTAAAAAATTCATAAAAGCTAAACTGAGTGTCGACGGTGACATCGGGAAGTCACAAAAGGGAGACTGGAAGAATCACCGAATGGCATAGAAGTGGCTGTCCGTGGAAATAAAAATAAATATGGAAATATGAATTTGCTGTACTGAAAGACTAAAGTATTGGATATGTACATTTAAAAGTTATGAAAAGGTTGAACTAAGTTAATTATGGAGCATTTCAGGTTCATCCCGAAATTTCAGCTAATATCCCAAACTTTTTGTGAGTAGTGTGTCAAAAGAATTAAAAGTGAAGGATGTGGGGTTGGTTTTTCAAAGTCACGGTGAAACATTGGACTTGCTCCCCTTCAAAATCCCACTCGGGATTGGTTGCCTTTAAAAAAAGAAAAATAAAACTATTAAAATAAAAACCTATTCTTTGATGGTGTATTTGATACTTGTTTTGTACATGAACTCGCTGGACTATGTCCCTCAGGAAAGGTAGACAGGGGAACATGGGGAGGTGGGCGGGGAGACTTAAGCAGCAGCTTCATGCAGGGTGGGCGTTTTGCGGACGGACATCACGTTTGGTGGACCTCGTGGAACATAAGCTCTCGCGGGATACGAGTCTCTGGGCCGTAGAGCTTGCAGGCACGGCGCTCGAAGGCGGCCACGTTCTGTTTGACCACCTCGTCGAAAAACATGGTGGCCAGCTGCGAGTGTAGCAGGGAACGGAACTCAAAGGATATCTGGAGAGGCAAGAGAGGGGAGGGGACGCTCACGTAAAATGACAAAATGGGCACGGTGGACATCACACAGAAATGGCGGAGGGGGGCTTACGGAAAAGTCAACAGTGCAGGTGCGAGGGTAGCCGGGAATGCCCGGACTGAAACGCCAAATGGTCTCCAGGTGGTTGAACAGCTTTCCGTCCGTGCACACGGCCTGAAGGTAATGAGTGGCGGGAGAACAATGCAACTGAGGTTATTAGTTATCGAAAACCATTAAAATGATTTTGAAAAATAATGTAACATATTTTCTTGGACTTATAAGTTGCACTTTTTTCCACATTGTTTGGTTGGTCCTGCGACTTATATTCAGGTGCAACTTTTATACATTAAAATTAGAGCTTGGACGAGCCCATCCATCCATCCATTTTCTGATCTACTTTATCCTCACAAGGGTAGCTTGGACAATCATACATGCCATTTTAAACTAAAAAGGAAAACTCTTCCATTAGTTCAAAGCAGAAGTTCCCAATCCAACCGGAACTTGTTCACTGCCATCAACACAATTAATGGAGCAGAGATTTTGAGTGCAAGTCTGAGCTCTAATTTTAATATGTAGTCAGTCGCGCCTCAGAATAAGTCGCAGGACCAGCCAAACACACCAAAAAAGAAAAAAAAGTGTGACTTTGAAAACTATGATGCATTAAAAATAAAGGTTCAAAAAAACAGAGCCTACCAAACCAAAATTAAGTAGATGCCCCCCCCCCTTAAATCACAACCATTGCAATTTGAAAATGGCATTTTACTACATCGCAATGCACATTTGAATTCCATTCATGTTCAGCGCTACAAATAACTCCACCTGAAACTGAAATAAACCCAGTCTTGCTGGGAACTCACTTTGACTAGGTGAGGCCGCACACAGCTGATCATGGACGTGTAGCGCTCGACGACGGGCGGGAAGCCCACCTCCAGCTGGGCCTTGCAGTGGCCCGCCCGCTTGGCCACGGTCTGAGACTTCTTGCACCACGGAACGAACAGTTTGTAGTCATCGACATTGGCCACCACGTCGTACATCTCCAGCATGGAGTAGCTGCCGGAAGAAGCCACGCGCTCAGCAAGGGTGTTGGAGGGGGACAAGCGCCCACCTCAGCACAGGTGATTCCGCATAGCTAAGCGCAGCCTCCTTTCATTAATTAGGCTCACCCAGCAGTTACATTCCCAAGAATCATTTAATATTTATTGCATTCATTTACATGTAGGTGGTCTTCTCCACAAAATTCGTTTGTTACAATTTTGTTACCCGAGTATCCTGCGTTCGGAGTACTCCTTCCTCTTGTTGGTGAGGCTGATGAAGTTCCTGCTCTGGGGAACGCTCGCCATGGCGTCCCAGTCGTGAAGGCACAGCACTTTGGGAGATCTGGTCATCAAAATGCCACATGAGGACAAATGTCTGTGAGGGGACAAAAGACATCCTGTGAGTGTGGAAAAGGCAGCAGGTGTCCACGGGTAAATTCCGGCCTCCCAGAGTGACAATGGGACACACAAGGTTGGCAGGCTGTTGCTGGCGTTTTCTCAGTTGATATGTGATAACTGCTCCTGCAACATGTGATGTTGGAATGTGGCTTCTTGTAGCTGACCGCGATAAGCCAAGATGGGACTAGAAATATCTCTGCCAGCTCTGTCGTCAGCGACACAGGTGTTTTGAAAAAGACTTTTGGCTTTTCAGTTACACGCAAACCACCTTTCAGTCAAATGACATCATGGTAACATCCCACTAGGCTTGTTTTGCTCCTTATTTATTTGATTTGTAATTAATGCATGTCTTTAAATTACAATGGAAGACGTACAAACACATTCATTTGGTAGAAGAACGGCAGGTTCTCTAAACCAGTGGTCCTCAACCACCAGTCCGCGGACTCGTTCCGGGTGTCGGCCTGTTTGGGACCGGGCCACACAGAGACAGACCTGTGAGCTGTGAGCAAATTTGCTTCATCAAACGTGGCGGAAATGTGCGCGACTCTAGCCAATCTGAATCCCCCTTCTAACCTTGGTTTGCTAGTTGAAATAAACAGAATCCACCAATAAATGAAAGAAGAAGTAAATAGAAAGTAATCAAGGAACAAATTAACCAAACGTGCTATGTCGTCAAAAACAAGGCGATGCCAGAAACCTATTGAATCATTTCAACAAGTACCAAAAATGCAAGTCGAGTTGAACAGCCTGCCCAAGTAACCATTAACAGTGTAGTCGCTACTAACTAGCCAGCAGCCACCAGATGGAAGCTGCGATCAATCGTGTCACCTTTTGATCAGTCTCATTTGCAAGTGGCAATAATGCTAACTCCGTATGTAGGATCATAACTTCAATCGCAATTTTCTTTGGACTGTTTAAAGCCGTTGGTAATGAAGACTGGTTCTGTGATGCATGCATTCAGAAATGTATTATGAATAATGAAAAGTACTTCGCACATATGCATATATTTTATTTTCCTCCTAGTTGTGACGTTTTAGATTCAAACTTCGCCTTTGGCCTTCTGATGTGTAAATTCCGTGGCATTCCCTTGTTTGAATGTTTTTTTTTTTGACGTCACTGCCTAAACTAGTTGTTTGCGCGCCTCGTAACCTCGAAACCGAGGACGCCATGTACTATTGATTCTAATTCAAGCTGACAGTCACACTATGATTGTCGGTGTTTTTTTACCTGATATTTTGTCGCGTGCACATTCGGGGCACCGCTGGGCGGCAAGACCGAGGAGAGCCCACGACGGCAACCTGGAGATAGTCGCTAAAAGTCCGCACACCCATGGGCAACCTCCGGGCGGTGGTCGCGGCTGCCATCAAAACAGCCACCCGTTGTCAAGATGACAACACCTGTGTGGAGCACACTGAAGAGGCCGGAAAAAAAAAAGACGGGGGGGTAGGGCCCGCTTTTCAGCCCACGTAGAGGTAAGACGTGTCGTTCACCAAATGAAGCATTCGATGACTAGCTGGCGACGTAACGAGTCCAAGTGATGCTAGCTAAGTGCGAGCTAACATTAGCCAGCTACTGAGGTATCGTAATAGTCCGAAGTAGCGCGACATAAAGCCAAAACATCACTCCGCACTCTCACATCGTCTCTGGTCATCAACTACGGCGGAATTGTCGGCTCTATTTATTTCGCTCGTTTGGTAGCAAATACTAGTCAGCCCCAGACGACCTTCTGCCGCTCACGAAACGCCGGTGGGACAAACGGCTTGTTCTGTTTGTCAGTTCAAACCGGCGGATGGACTAAAGGCTGCTCCCTAGTGTGGCGGAGGATCGCAGCGGAAAATCCTGGACGGGATTTGTTTCGGGAAAGAACATAGACGACTCAAATCGAATCACGACTATCTCATCTCAGTTTTCCTCACTGAAATTAATATGAATGTAATGAAAACGTTCCAGCAACAAACAACAACAAGAACGACGACAACAAAAGCACCCCGTAGACTGTTTTTAAAATAAGAAAAATAGCACTCTGTAGTACTATACTTTATTAAAACATACAACAATAACACAGTTAAAGATTTAAACGCGTTTGCACCATGATTTCATACTTTAACACAATAAACAAGTATAATGATACTCATGTAGCCTGTAGTAGCGGGGTCAAATTCCTTGTGTGTTCTACATACTTGGCCAATTGCGCCTTCTGGTGCCTTGGCCACCAGGGGGAAGTATAATGATACTCATGTAGCCTGTAGTAGCGGAGTCAAATTCCTTGTGTGTTCTACATACTTGGCCAATAAAGATGATTCTGAGTCTGATACATAGTACAGTCGAGGTATATTTGATGACCCAAAGGAGACCATTACCAACATTTAACTGTGCCAGAGAAAGAGAAAAATAATACAGTATTCACTAATAATCTGTACCTCCAGTTTACTAAACTGTACCCTCATTTCTCAAGAATCAATCTTTTATTTCTTCGCTATTCACTTTATTTACATCTTAGCACAAAGAGCCATTAAACAGCATCTATGAGAGGTGCAGCGATTAATCAACAACTAATGTATTGTCAAATTACTCAATAATTTTTGATTGATCAATCGATCAATTGTTGGGCTATGTTGTTAAAGTTATTATTGCCCAAATCCTCCGAATTTCAGCCTTTCAACAATATATATATTCTCTGAGAACTGTAGTGTTCAATGAAAGCAGATTGATTAGCTTGATCTTTTTTTCAAAATAAGAATTTGCTTTCTCTTTTACTTTGGAAAACAATGATCAGCATTTTTGCCTATTTTCTGAATATGCTGCAGAACAAACTGGTCAATGACCCCTTTCGTGTTTGTCTACACAATCTGACTTAGTCTTCTAACTGCAGTTATCTTGTACTTCACCTTGTATCACAGAGGCTGATGATGTTAAAATGCTTTTTAAAAACAGAGCATGTACAATTATTTCCAATAAAAAGTTACTGACGGTGACCTTTTGATGCTTTAAATTGCAAAGAAATCAAGAGTTTGACAAGTGTCCTTTGGAATGGATGCTTCAATATAGTGATCGACACTATGAATACCGACGTTATATTTTTAATTTTTATTTGTATTTTAATGTATTGATGTATTCATCCATATATAAGTTTCTTCATTTATCTATTTATTTATTCATGTTGGCGTTTTATTTGAACCCAACTACATGTCAGTGTTATGCACATGATAAGGAGACAAAACTGCTTATAACAAAGTGACTTTATAGTTGCCTGTTGAGAATGACAAAGCCGGATGAATTTAGGGAGTCACAAGTGCTTTCATAATCCTCCTTAGCATTGCATTCCTCCAGTTTTTTCCCCCTCAACAAATCGCCACCTTGTCGTTGTGTCATGTGTGACCCTTTGTTGTAGTAACATACATACAAAGTATTGTGTTTTTTTTTGTTTTTTTTTTTTTTTTTTGTTTTTTTTTTTTTTTTTTGTTTTTTTTTTTTTTTTTTGTTTTTTTTTTTACACATTTCCAGTTTTCATTGCTTAAAAGGTTTTGTGTGACCTGCTGATCTGACACCAGATGTTCATTATCAAAGCACAGCAATCTGCACACAAGGTGTAATAATGAGCCCCCAAAACGGGTCAGGTGACTTGAGAAGATTTAGGGGAAGCACTTGTGTGGCATTTTAAGAGCGCATGAGTTCTTGAATTTGTAATACCCCTAATTCAAGATATTTGATGATTTGGTTACAGGTTTCTTGTAAAGCCACTCTTTGTTGGCTTGTATTAACACATGCATGCAGTAATAAGCTCAAAAGATGGTGGTCAATTTGTGAGGCTTGGTGGTGTTTTACTCTGGTTCAACTTGCACATAGGTGTCCTGTCTCTTGGTATCTCCTACACGCACCTTCAAACCTCCTTTACATACTAATGCTCATCTTTGAATTTTTAATTGAACAATACTGTATGTTTGTTATTGTGCTATATTTTGCTGGGGTGCAGTCTATGTCACGTACAGTTGCACTGCATCATACTGGGGTGACATATTCTATTATTTTTGGTCGCTTGTGTCTCTAAATAAGGTAACTAATATATTAAAGAACAAACTACAAAAAGGGAAGCCTTAATATAGAGCTTGTTTACACATTAGTTGGTTAGTTAACACATTTTCTAAAGAGTTAAGTCATTAGATTAGAGCAGTACGATTGGCCTCCTGCTTGCCAGTGTGAGCCCATGTTTAGCGCTACTTCTTTGACCTTTTCACAGTCAAAAAGAAAAGTTCAGATAATTTGCCTCTTGCCGTGTTCCAAGTTACAAGATCAGAGATTTCACAGGCTAGAGAAGTCACAGAGTTCATGCGTGGGGTTGACCTGAATCTTTGCACACATGATCGACATGCATGTGCACATTTCTAATGTGTTCGCAATATTGTATGTTCATTCCAGACGGGCGTTTATACTTCATAATCAGTGTCAGTCCAGATGACCCCCCCCTTACTGTGTACGTGTATGTGCGTGTGCGTGTGCGTGTGTGTGTGCGCGCGCGCGCGTGTGCGTGTGTGCAGGGCCTCCTTTGTCTGCTGACACCCGCTCAAACATGTGAGTTTATAAAGCCTCTTTCCCATTGCCGGCTGCTCACTAAAGGGATCTTTGACAAGGAGGAACATGATGAAGACGTCCGCTTGGCTGTTGGTGCTGCTCGTGGCCGCCTCGCACACTGTGGCCAGTAAGTAGAGCAGGTGCTTTTTTTTTGTTCTTTTTTTAAAAATAATTTCAGAAATTGCTGCTATTATAATATTGAAAAATCTAAGGCAAATGCAATAGATAGAGATATATAATATTTGTCACCACTTCTTTCTAAATTTGTTCATTTGATTCAAATATTTTTAATAAAATTCTGTTTTAAAAAAATAATGTAATCTATTACAATCACGTTCCTCGTGTAGCATAATATTTACATAATAACTTTATTGAAATGCTCATAAATGAATATGAGTGTTAATTATAATCTGCAACCCCCCCAGAAAATGTATACATTATTTTATTTTATGATCACTGCACCACTCTAACATGTATGCTTACTTTATTTCTGTGGCCTGTTAGTTACTCCACGTATGAATAAAAGTGAAACAAATGTAATCTTTGATAAGATCCGAATGTCGATAGAGCAGGTAGAAAAGTTGTCTGCAGCCATCTCTGTATGATCTGCGCATGTATATGTAAAAAAATAAAAATATTGAATGCAGCAAAAGTTAAATGGATAACACTTTAAAACGCTTTAAAATAATATTGGCATTTCCTTTTTTTTTTGTTTGTTTTAATCCAAATTCAAACCTGAGACTCTTTAATCTGCATTCAACTCGCACACAGCTGTGTCACGTTGCGTACAAGGCAGGAAAAAAGAACTGCTTCGTACGCAACAGGGCGAATGAGAATAAGTGAATCCCCGAAGTAGCAGACACTGACAAGGCTTTTGTCTCAAAATAATATTTATTACAAACGAAAAACTCCGTCGAATGGAAAACAGAAAACGCTGGTCAAAACGAGAACCAGGATATAATGAAACGCGAAAAACAAACCGCTTGCGAAAAACGGCAAGGAAAAGGATAAGACAATTTACTAGGTTAAGTATGTTTTCTGAATAATCCCAATGGGATGACGAACGTGTAGCAAACAACAATCGAATTCGAAGAGCATGGGCAATAACAGTGGCACGGCAAGCAATACTCCGGCAATGAGTCGAAATCCGGAGTTCTTAGATATAGCAGGTGTAATCATTGAGAAATAGGCAGCAGGTGTGCAGGCAGCAGAATGAACGCCTGCCACCTGCTGCCAAATCCGGAACATGACAAGCTGAGGGTCACATGAGAAGGATTGAAGGAAGCACATTCAAGCACCGTTGGACACATTTGCATGTTTTATCATAAAAAAAAACAGCAGTGATACTGGGTGACATAACTGTTAGACAAAAATTATGCATTGATCCAAGATAGTGGTTCGACTTTTGTTCAAACTCCAAATCTTGTATAAGGTGACTTAGCACTTCCACCAAAGACTTCAACATCACTCACCACCCAGCACAAACAAAGCAATTCCTGAACTAAATAATTTCCTTCTTCTTTTTTAATAATATTCATTTTAGAGGCCAGAAATCGCTTCACTCGCTATCCATCCTGGAACACCAAGCTTTACCCAATCTGGAAAGATGGAGACCTCCGTTTCACAGACTCCTGGAAAGGTTTGCTTCTCACCATGTTGGTATTGATTCAAATGTTTGTATTTGGCTACCTAAAATGTACTTTTGAAATATTTGTTATGACACACGCCCTTTGACTGGCGTTGAACCAGTCCGGGGTGTTTCGCTCAAAGTCAGCTGGTATGTAGGCTCAAGCTCACCTAATGAGGATAATCGAGGCATAGAAAATGGACAGGTGGATGTTCAGACACTTCAGGGTTTCATGTTTTCTATGTGCTCTTTGAACAGGTGGAAAAGTAACATTCAATGTCGCCAATGACTCGCCAACTCTGACCGGAGCCAAAGTGACCTTCACCATAGACTTGGAATTCCCCCACAATCAAAAAGTTCAGGCTGATGGAAATGTGGTTTGGGCACAAGACTGCATTGTTAATGGTAACACACATGCGTGCATACGCACAATATTTAATACGCTCTGAGCTACAACAACATAGGAATGTCACACTTATTTGGTACACCATTTTGGTTTGTATTCCGAACAAATATGGCTTGAACCACCATTGAACTTCACCCACAACCTTTTTATTGCACAACCACTTCGACCAACAACCCACATAAGAGCAGCAGACTTGAAACTGTAATCCCCTTACGATGTGACTGCCGAGAGCTGATATTCTTAATGATTTATGTCGCATTCTCATCCAGGAACCAAATACCTGGCGTCTCAGACTGTTTTCCAAACTCAGACGACAGACTGGGAAGCAGTTTTCCCTGATGGGACACCAATCAAAAAGGACAAAAAGCCCAACTATGTGTTTGTCTGGAAGACATGGGGTAACCGAAGCCGTCTTCTTACATTGTATTTCACATTTAGCAGCTCATGTAGGGTATCAGTGATGTATGTAAAGGTCATTTAATTGAGCTGTTCACATTTTGTTGAACAACAAAAAAAAAAAAAAAAAGCTATTATGTGCCCCCGGGCAGGTCAGTACTGGCAAGTGGCAGACGGTCCCTCGTCCACCCTGACCATTGACACAGCCGACATTCCACTGGGGTCCTTCACCATGGACATCGTCATCTACCACTACCGGAGCAAGGAGAAGTTCATTCCTCTCGGTTACGCCTCTACTCAATTTTCCATTACCGGTAGGAAATTCAGATGGATTTTGGATATGAACCCTGCATGGAACAGTTAAGGGAAGATGAGGGAATTGTCGCTGTCCTCCTAATAGCATGTGATTCAGACACACCATTATTTTATATATAGTCATGGAAAAAACAAAACATAAAGCATTCTACGTTGATGACATTATTCTCTGTCATTGATTTTCTGAAAGAAATCAAAGTAAAATGTAACAGTGGTTCACATAATATCCACTTAATTTACCAAGTATCATTCCTTGTTGGCTCAAACAAGGATCCCCATGTTTTTTGAACACCTATATTTGAAATCTAACTCCTCTGTCTGCATCCCGCCCATCATCACTGCTGTACGTTGCTTGCATCCCTTATGCATCTGTTTGTGTATATTTGTCTTTGCATCTGGGTCCGTTTCAAGACCATCTCCATCCAAGGGGATCAATATAGTATGAACAACTTTTTCTTTTTTTTAATGCAGATCAAATCCCATTTGCTGTCTCCCTGGACCAAGTGGATGATATCCTGGCTGGTGACATGAGCTTCGTCCTGAACAGGGCCATTGCCTTTAGCGTCAGTCTGCATGACCCCAGCCAGTTCCTGAGCGACGCCGACATCACCTTTAACTGGGACTTTGGGGACGACAGCGGGGCCCTCATTTCCAGAGAACTGACCGTCACCCACACCTACGTGAGCTCCGGCTCGTTCAAGCCCCGCGTGGTGGTCCAGGCGGTGATTCCAGACAAGGATTGCAACCCTCCAGTGGATACCACAACCAAGTCCCCCACGCTGCCCATTGAGCAAGAAAGCTTGGGTATACCATCTCGTGTTTATGATGACAGGACATGATTTGCCTCATAATGTGGATGCAGCTAATTGTTATTAAACATGTGACCTATGGTAGCACCTGCAGTCCCCCCTCTGGATTCCAGCAAAGCAACTGGTTTGAGGACCAACGCAATTCATTCGGACACAGAGGAAGACAACAGTGAGGACGAGACCTCCACCGCACAGCCCGTCCAGGAAGGCGCGCCAGCGGCCAAGACTCCCTCCCCTACCAACTATGAGGCACACGCCGACCCTGTCTCTAACCTTTTGAGTGAGGAGGCGAGGAGCGATACAGTGAAGGAAGGTAAAGATGGCTGCCTACACAGCACTTTGTGTGCAGCGATGGCTGTTTGAAAGTTCTCTATAAATACAGTTGAGTTGAGTTGAGTTGAGAGTTGAGGTGCTCTTAGTGGCACAAATTCATGATTTATTGGGGCCTTGAAAATAGCATTTTGATTTGTGGCAGTCATGTGATGTCATTCACACGACAATAACAGCTTTGTGTTAAATTAAACAAGCCCAGATTTCACACTAGTTCAAGTATTTTTGGGAAATTTTTGTTTGGTGGTGTGCTGTGAAACAGGTTAAAAACAAAGTTGGGAAACACTGGTTTAGGTCACAATGGCTTAAAGAAGGACCATGGTCATGATTGGGACACAAATGACTCCCTGTGTTGACTCTATTTTTGATGCAGGTTTAAAGCGGCCATCGTTAATGACAGGTCGTGCCACTGTTGTCCTCGTTACCAAAAGGGAAACAATGGACAAACCCACTGAGGATGACTGTGTGACATATCGATATGGCTCCTTTTGCGCTGAAATTCAAGTGGTTGGTGGGTTCCTTGTCATCACTGACTAACACTCCTCTGATCAAATTTCTCCTAATTGATTTTCAGTGTCAGCCGTGAATGGTCTCTTTGCTTTTCAGAGGCTGTCAAGAAAGTCGAAATTGTCGAAATGGACAACAGCATCATAGCAACACCAGGAATGAACAACAAGGCTATTGATCTCACTGTAACCTGCCAAGGGAGGTGAATGCACCCAGATCTATAAATACTTTACAGTGGAACCTAATCAATCAGTTTCCGAACATTGTTTGTCTTTTGAAGAACCTCAGAACTAGACACACATACGCTAACCACCCACACCACTGTGTTATGATCATAAGACGTAAACGCAGTAAATCAATCTAGTTTATCCTGATAGCAATTGACGCATATGTTGATGTACTGCTTTGAACGCAAGTCCACTTCACATAACTTCCTGTATGCATTTGATATTTGAATTTGAATTGATTACTGAGGATGTCTCTCTCGTTCATTCAGCTTCCCCAAACAGGTGTGCAGCATGATTCTGGATGCAGAGTGCTTGAAGCCCATCCACACCACATGCAACATGGTGGAGCCTTCCAAAGAGTGCCAGTTGGTGTTGCATCATTTCTTCAACAACTCTGGCGTCTACTGCATCAACGTGTCCATGGCCAATGACGTCAGCTTGGCCGTCACCAGCGCCAAAGTCAACATTGACATGGGTAAGTGTAGTTAGGCTCCATTTCACTCGTTCTTTTGCCTTAAAACTGGTCACTGACACCCCCTGTCTTTGTTTCAGGATCGGGGCTGTCCTCCTCCAGCATCATCGCCACTGTGCTGGGTCTCATGCTCCTTACTTTGTCTCTGGGAGTAGTGGCATTTTCTTACAAGTAAATATTTTGTAATCTATCTATCTCTCGAGCTAGCTAGTTACCTAGCTAGATAGCTATTGAGCTAGCTAGCTCTGATAGGCCAAAGTTTTGCCTTTTTTCTTTTTCTTAAAATTACAAAATGATGAATTACTACTTTTTAATTCATTAGAATAAATCGGTGTTATTTATTGTTTATCATCCAAACATTTCGACCAAAATCTCGTTATCCCACACAATGAAACTCGCAGGGTCAGCAAACTCAGTCATAACTGCAATACTTCAGCCCGACAGCAGGGTGTGCACTTTACCTCCAAACTTTTCTTGACCTCTATTTCTTAGATCAGGTGTACCCAATTCGGTCCTCGAGAGCCCCTAGCTAGCCTGTTTTTGCGTGATTCCCTCCTCCAACACACCTGATTCAAATGATCAGGAGCGGATTATTTCCAGACCAACTTGGTGAATCAAAATATGATCAGGAGCTGATCAATGGAAGCTGGTGTGTTGCAGGAGTGAGACATCTAAAACAGGCTAGATAGGAGCTCTGGAGAACCAGACTTGGGCACACCAGCCGTTGAGTTACACGCAAATTTCTCTACTTTCGACTCCTTGCACTTACAAAAGAAAGTAAGGTATTAATAGCTGATGATAATTAATTTGCATTGCAGGCTTACTAAATGTGATCAGATTTATGTATGAGAAAAAAACATCACGTTTTTGTTAAATGTAATGGGTACGACTTCAATAGACCAACTTTTACAGTACTGTACTTAAGATATGTGGTTGTCTCGACAGGCGCCTGAAGTCCTACCACCAGCTGAAGCAAGACATCAGGGGGGCCGAGGACCCTCGGGCTGGCTTGTGTCACAGTGGTTCCTCAACAACAATGCTGTGGAAGTTGCTCAACAGGCGAGGAGTGGTCGATCAACGCCCCCTGCTGCAGGACAGAGTAGTGTGAATGAGGCCCCCACCAGCATCTCAACGACGTAGCAGATTCTCCTCACCGCTCCCTTTTTGTACTATTTTTTTTAAATGTACTTTTTTTAACAATAAACAAATGTATCAGCTTCTTGTGAATCAAAACATGTCACTGAATTATGCCAGATTTTTGTCCTTGATAAAGAAGTTTTGCCAATCAAATCAAAGCATTGAATCATCACTGAGTTTGTGTTTTTCCATTAAACATTGCTTGGAGCATTTATGTCCTCTTTCCTTTCAACCTAAACTATTAGCTGCACTGATGGTGTAGCTTGGCCCTGTCAGCAATCAAAGTAAATAATCAATGTATTCTACTTTCCAACATTTCATCATACGGAATCATTAAGTCTAAAATGAAACCTAAATAGAAACACAAGGCAAAGTCACTTGTCACAGGATTTTATTTGGAGCCAGGACGAACATTTTGAAGAATTTTAAACACCCAATCTGGAAACTGACTGACACTTGTCTGGAATGCCTTCAAGAACACATAGCAATTCAATTCCCTATTTTCTTGTGCCTTTTAATATTCTTCTCCTTCCTCCTCTCCTTCACCCTCAATGGAGTCGACGCCAACCTCCTCGTAATCCTTCTCCAGAGCCGCCATGTCTTCTCTGGCCTCGGAGAACTCGCCCTCCTCCATGCCCTCGCCCACATACCAGTGCACAAAGGCGCGCTTGGCGTACATCAGGTCAAACTTGTGGTCGAGGCGGGCCCAGGCCTCTGCGATGGCGGTGGTGTTGCTCAGCATGCACACGGCCCTCTGGACCTTGGCCAGGTCCCCACCGGGAACCACGGTGGGAGGCTGGTAGTTGATACCCACCTTGAAACCAGTGGGGCACCAGTCCACAAACTGGATGGTGCGTTTTGTTTTGATGGTGGCGATGGCGGCGTTCACGTCTTTGGGCACCACATCGCCACGGAAGAGCAAGCAGCAGGCCATGTACTTGCCGTGGCGAGGGTCACATTTGACCATCTGATTGGCGGGCTCGAAGCAGGCGTTGGTGATTTCTGCCACGGAGAGCTGCTCGTGGTATGCCTTCTCAGCAGAAATGACGGGAGCGTAGGTGGCCAGGGGGAAGTGGATACGGGGGTAGGGCACCAAGTTGGTCTGGAACTCGGTCAGATCAACATTGAGGGCACCATCGAACCGAAGGGAGGCGGTGATGGAGGACACGATCTGACTGATCAACCTGTTCAGGTTGGTGTAAGTAGGACGTTCGATGTCAAGGTTCCTGCGGCAGATGTCGTAGATGGCCTCGTTGTCAACCATGAAAGCGCAATCGGAGTGCTCGAGGGTGGTGTGAGTGGTCAGGATGGAGTTGTAGGGCTCCACCACAGCGGTGGACACCTGAGGAGCCGGGTAGATGGAGAACTCCAGCTTGGACTTCTTGCCATAGTCTACGGACAGACGCTCCATCAACAGGGAAGTGAAACCTGAGCCGGTGCCACCTCCGAAGCTGTGGAACACCAAGAAGCCCTGAAGGCCAGTGCACTGGTCGGCCTAAGGACGCAAACGTAACAGACATGACATTAGAGAAAAGACGAGTGTATTCTGGCTTCCTCCCTCAGTTTAAGACTATCCATGTTAGTGACATAGTGTCATGTCAAGTGTTTGGAAAGTTACACACCAGTTTGCGGATCCTGTCCAGCACCAGGTCAATGATCTCCTTGCCGATGGTGTAATGTCCGCGGGCATAGTTGTTGGCTGCGTCCTCCTTGCCGGTGATCAGCTGCTCGGGGTGGAAGAGCTGGCGGTAGGTTCCAGTCCGCACTTCATCTGAAGAGATTAAAAAAAAAAAAAATTGGTTTTAGATTTTTTTCAAGAGGAGAACAAACTGATTTGTATGAGAGTTTTACCAATGACAGTGGGCTCCAGGTCCACAAAGACAGCTCTGGGGACGTGTTTTCCAGCTCCAGTCTCGCTGAAAAAAGTGTTGAATGAATCATCTCCACCTCCCAGTGTCTTGTCGCTGGGCATCTGTCCGTCCGGCTGGATGCCGTGCTCCAGGCAGTACAGCTCCCAGCATGCATTGCCGATCTGGACACCGGCCTGACCAACGTGGATGGAGATACATTCGCGCTGTGCGGGGGAAAAAAATATTCAAGTTAATTATAATTACTTCGTACTTCGAGTGCCATTGCTGTACCTAAAAATAAAACCAAACGTTAACGTTGAACTAGTCTACTGCGCCCCTATCGTTTGCTGCACGCATTGCAGCATGAGACGCCACCCTGCTGCATGACAGCCCACACCAAATCGCTGCTGCCCCCCCCCCACATCTCCCACACACACCCCACCCCACCCCACCCCACCCACAGAAGAATAAAACGTCCTTTTGTTATGAGCTGTCTTCTTTTTTTTTTTACTCCTTCTCTTCTCTTGTGTTTCCTGCATCACTCTCCTCTTTTGACAAGGAAATGCAAATGAGATGCGCATGCGCGGGCACACAAGGTCTGGAATATTCCACTTGCTTTCCTCCACCGAGGATGCACAATCACGGTGTTGTACTGGTAAAAAATGGTTCCAAATCCGATGTTCGGTTAAACTCTACGTACTGGAAATTCCGTAATGGGAAAAGAGAGGAGAATCCACATGAATTCATTCGGGGGGGAAAATACATTTCCCAGTCTATTCGAATGAAGCACGGTTTTCGACGCATATGTTATACCACACTTTAAATATATTCAGTGATGAATTAATAAAAACGAATTTATAAATTAAAAATGAGCTGCAATAGAAAAGCATTTATGCATCTCCACACAGCCGAGCCCCTCCCTGTCATCCGACGTCGTTTGCAAGGTGCCACATTTATTTGTAAATATTTTTTTGTTGATTCGTAATCCCAAATTTGGGATAGAAAATAACATATATTAAACTAAATATTGAGATGTTTTTTGTCGCTTTGAGCTTCTCCCACCTCAGTACCACCAGTCATTGTTCGCATCTACACACACACACACACACACACACACACACACACACACACACACACACACACACACAGACGTAGGGCATCGCAACCTGCTACAGTCGATGTAGGGCAAATCAAATTGATAGTCCTTAATGACTTCGTTAAATATATCAAGTGTTAACAATACAATTGGTTTACATGTTTAAATTAGATCCCATTACATAACAAAGCCAATACGGCGGCGTGCTCTAAGGAGCCGACACGACAATCTTCTTTTTATCCCCCCAAAGAGCCACTATCCCAAAAAAAAAAAAAAACACCATTGTGCAAAAGACGATCGATGAACTCACCATGTTTTCGTCTAGGGTTCAAAGCAGGAGAGAGAAGGAAGAAAAATATTTTTTTGTTGCTTTTCTTTTTTTGTAATTTTGAAGACGTTTGCGTTGCGTGTTGTACCCAACGGGGTCGATGCAACAACTGCTGAATGGGAGGGCGGTGCTAGCACATTTATACACGCACCGCGGCATTGGGGCAGACCGAAAAGACCACTCTACTGCCCCTTGTTGGTTACATTTATATATGTTTTTAGGGATGGATGAATTTACCCGGTGTGTGCATTACGTTTACCCGCCGTGCTCAAAATCCTCTATTACTGTATTAAGGTTAAATTGCAAATAGTTGTCATGAATTTTGCTACTTGTATGCAATCATGCTTTATTGTCCTTAACCAGAATGTGATGGCCGCTTGTCATCTTGCAGGGGCATGGACAAACCCTACCATGCGTGCAGTTCTTAAGGCGTGGCATTTAGCAATCAATAGAGAGCAGCATGACGCACATGGATGTCATCTACGCTTTGTGTTGTTTTGCTGGCCATTTTCAGTTTGGATTTTGCAAACAGTTACAATTTTAGCTTGCCATTATGTATTTTTTATACATTTTGTGCCTCTATGTGCCTTTATTGTACGGTATGGTGACTGCAGCATCTATCTATCTATCTATCTATCTATCTATCTATCTATCTATCTATCTATCTATCTATCTATCTATCTATCTATCTATCTATCTATCTATCTATCTATTCATCCCTCTGTCTGTCTGTCTGTCCATCTATCTGTTATTTTATTTTCACATTTTATCACAATATGTGTCATATGTACTCATCATTCATTCATTTTATATATTATCATATTTGTAATAACTATTATTATTGCGCTCAGTTTTTTTATTCCAATAATGAGACTGCATGGGAAATGGTTAAAATAGCATTGCAGAAACAACAAACCTAGCATAAAGACCTTTGCATGGAACTGATTTTTTTTTTTCATTTACGTGTCTGATGCACTGTATGACTAAGTTGTGGCTACCATGGTTGCATAGGCTCGCCATCATGGCTGCCCACCTTCCTCTTCACCCTCTTTTGTGTCCTCGTTTTCTGCAGTGATGTCATCCTGTGGGCCGATCACATGACCTCCACGTCACTCAGTCACTCACTCTGTGGTTTTGGGGCGTTTCCTCACTTTCTAACCTCTCTGCGAACCGAAAATGACTGCTGTGGATTGTTGTGATGTGCAAAGCAATGAGATGTGGCAGTGTTTAGTTTCACAGACCTTTTCTTCTTTTGCCAGCATAAGGCCAAGATAGCACAGTTTGCTTAAGAGAACACCCTGAAGTGCTTATGGAAGGAACAATAAGTAGTAAGATGGATGTATGGATGGATAGATGGCTATAGATGAATGGACGACCAGACGGCTGGGCAGACAGACAGGAAGTGAAGCCTCGAGAACATTCTCTCCTCCTCCTCCTCCTTCTCTTCTATGTCAGCAGCTGTGACAAGGGAGAGTTGAAGCAGCTGCACTCCGAGAGTAGAATTCTGAAAAGATGGGAGTGGTCCTCTCCTGGCACCAAAGCGACTGGGCTGCATCGTGCAAAGAGAACACGACACCATTCCCCAATGACAGAGCATGTTTTCCATTGAGCGCAGCACAACTATATTCATCCCATTTTTGCATTGCAGCAGCCAATTTAGGATGATTTTTGTCGTGTAGTGCTTTCTTCAAGTGTATAAGAAAAAAAACTACATTGTGGCATATTTACAGTTACTCCTCTAAGGTGAAAGAAACACAATACTACCTTGAATTTGTTTGGAATGGAAAAAAAACATTTCTACATTGGAATGATGGGAATTATTTACTGTACAAACAATATTTGAAGTAACATTTTAACATTTTTCATATGCGTGTCATAATACAGTCGATCAACCCGCTGTTCAAGGAGACGAATTCTGCATTAAAAAACACAATATAAAACAGCTCCCAGGTGTCTTAATAAATAGTCTATGACATTCTTCAGTCACACTATTGAAAGGAAATAGAATTACAGCGCATTTGTCACTTGTTCAAATCATCACTCAGTTCTGTAGGGTGGTTCCGTCTCACGCAAATACAGATGACAGTTTTTGTTAGGATGACAAGGGACAGAACTAGGCCATGTGACAAAGAAAGCGACTACTTAGTGTTGCCAACTAGTTATATCTACCAGCTTTTCTGACACCTCCTGGCAATTTTTCAAAAAGCGTCAGCAGCAAATCTCATGATTTTTTTTTTTTTGTGGCCTAATCAGAGACGACTGGACGCCAAATGAATGGTTCTCGGACAAAGGCACAACAGTCAAATTTTTATTCAGGCAGGGATGGAAAAAATGCAAATTAGCTGGATTTGCGAAATTCAGAACAAGTCACTCAGAAACACATTTTTCGAAATAGAGTCGCTTGGTTGTTTAATTTCACACTTGATGGATGAGCATACATTATCTGTATGTAAACAATTAGACATTTTACTGTGGATTACAAAAAAAAAGTCTATACACCCCTACTCTAATACCAGCTTTTTGTGATATATAAAATGACAACCCTTTTTCTCCATTAAAACGTGAGTTAAAACAACGCCTGTGTTCAGACTTAAACCAATCACATTCAAATGCATGTCAGATGGGTGTCAGCACACACCTGTCACCATGTAAAAGGCTTCTTATTAACTCAAAATTAAGTTTACATGTTCTCGTAACATTTTCTTGATTTTTTTTTTTTTTTTTTTTTTTTTTTTGCTTTCCAGCAGAAACGTGAAGGTGATGTTCTAACTCTGACTGATATTTGCAAGTGCTTATAATTCCCTCCACCTTGATTTGAGACCCCAGTTCCAGTTAGAAAAAAAAATGGACTAAAAACATCCTTGGCACAGGTCCGCACTATAGTATATAAGGTCATTATAGCATAAGTAAAGCAATACAAGTTTTGTAAGAATTCTCACGTAAGTACAGTAATTTACTAAAGTGAGTCAGCTGATGTTGAGATATAAAAGGAGGGGGCCAAACGAGCTGATCTGGTACAGTCTTGAATATCTATTTTAAGCCACATCAGATTCAAAGGCAGAAAATTTCACGCCTTTGGGCAACTTATCAAAGAATTTCTTTTGTCGTGTTAGGAACCGAGGTGCTAAGCTGTTCAATAGTATTGATCTTTATAACTGTTTAACACATCCTGTTGTATATACTCACCTCAATGTATTGAACACTGTTCTAAAAAGCTGAATAAGTGCAACCATTTTCAAGTAGAGGACATCAGCGTGAAGTTGTCAGGAAGCAGCCTCAGCCTCACAGGGCAGCTGCTGCAGGGCTGCTGCTATTTAAGCCGGGTCACGTGATAAGCAGATAAAGGCGGTCTTATGCGGATACTGGGTCTGTATCCAGGCAACGGAGCTATTCATTCCCTAGCAACCGTTAAATCTTGGGAGGAGGAATGGGGGTTGTGCCATCTGTGCTTGTACATGACTGGACAGGATGACCTCATTTGTCAGCTAAACCCTTTGGATACAAAGATTGGGCACAAAATCAGTCTGGGACCTAGAAAAAGATGTGTTGTTTACTTGATAAACAGGGACCACCTACAATGGGACCTTGCAAACTTAGCTCTTGTCACTCGGAGAGTAGAAAGCTAATCAGCTCATCAGCTATTTGCTAAGTGCCACCAATTCCAATGGCCAATAATGCACAACTTTTTTGGGAGGATGGGTTAATTGTACAGCCAAATGGATATTGCCTTCGCGGGTCAATTACATGCATTATGCATGAGGGCCAGTAAATCCATAATGTTGTCTGCCTGTGCATCTAATACTCTAGATACATAACTGCTATAAAATCAAATAAAAACCTATCCTTGATCGAGAGGCTACTAGTACATGACACGTGCTGAATAGTTGGACCTCATAGTGTTACAAGCACGGCACAGTAGTTTACTAGCTAGATTTAACTGTATACTAGTAGGCCAAGAGTGATGCTAGTAGTGGAAAAAATTGTTCCAAGTAGGACACAATTGTTCTACTTTCACACCCTAGTCATTCTACTTGTGTGGTGAATCGTCTTACTAGTGTGGACAGTTAAGAGCATACTACTTCTTGGACTTGTCCTGGATATCAAATGAAGCCTCAAATGGCTTTATGGAAAGCCGTTTGAGCATCTATTCAATATCCTTGATAAGGAGCCTACTAGGGCATGATACATACTGTTGTACTACTAGTCGGACCTTGTAGTGTTACTTAGGAAATTGGTACTTTCCAAACAGCATTTATTCCATATCCTTGATAAAGGAGTACTAAGTAGTACCTTCTGCTGCCTTTCAACCAGATTGGGTTCGATTCGTGGCCAGCGCGCCAATATCAAAGCACAAGCCTTGATTAAAAAAATAAAATAATGGATAGGCCTTAGTTTCATCGGGGAACACATTCCGCCTAACAACTGTGCCAAACAAATAATTTGAGTGACCTTCTTTGGCGACACCCTGATAGGAAATATTGAAAATCACAAGTAAGACAATAGTTCTGTTTGTGTGCCCGAGAAGCTCACTGTATTCTAACTAGTAGAGTGTTACTAGTATAGGGTCCTCAAGCTATGGAATAAATACTAAAACAGTTTTCAATTGTTTGCCTGACACGACTTTATTCAACATTGTGCTTCCAACTAATTGTCTGGGGCCTGCCTGGCTGGTAGCATGAGCATCACGCTGAAATTACGCAGCATTTTCCTCTCAGTGAGCCATGCTTGCGGCACAATGCCGGGTGGGGTCAGGGAGGAAGTCTGTGTGACCGCGGTTGAGATCAGCCAATAGAAAGCCGCGAATGGCCTGCGTCTGCCTGACTGATAGGAAACTTCCCAATAATAGGAGAGCACTTGAAGTCGCCGCGCCTGCTATCAGCCAATGGAGACAGAGCAGGCGGCGGCGCGAGTATAAATACTGTCGAGAGTCCCGACGATCGCCATAACGTCTTACATCGACCGCGTTACAGTCGCATTGTAAGACATTTCTCAACGGACTTTCTTGTAACTTCCTCGATTGGCCGCTCAAGAGAAGCAAAATGGTAAGAGTGGTTTTAAAAACTTCCACGAGTTGCTGACTATAGTTGGCGTGTTTGTGTCCCATTGCTCTCGGATAAGAG